GAGGCGGAGGTTGCAGTGAGCCAAGGTCGTGCCAGTGCACTCCAGTCTGACGACAGAACAAGACTCCATCTCAAAAAAAAAAAAAAAAATTACCTGGGCATGATGGTGCATTCCTATTAGTCGAGCTACTCAGGAGGCTGAAGTGGAAGGATCCCTTGAGCCCAGGAGACTGAGGTTACAGTGAGCCATGATTGTGCCATTGCACTCCAGCCTGGGTGACAGAGCAAGACCCTGTCTCTAAAAAATAAGAAACAAAAAACAGGAAAATATATGGTGATCAGAAGAGCAATTATGAAAGTAAACCATGGGAAAGTAACAGAAAGTGACAGGGAGTCATTCAGGTTGGTCGGTCAACAGAGGCCCCTCTGAGGAAGCCATGTTTGTGCTGAGTTTTGGTTGATAAGAAAGAACCATGAGAGTGTGCAACAAGGGGTTAACTCAGCAGGTCTTTGCTGTCCAAACCCTGCACATTCCAAAGAAAGAACTGACTCTGACCAGGAGATAACCTTGAAGCCTGTGAAATATCCCACGTGATGAGTGGTTTTTGCATACCTGGGGCAGTGGGCCACAGCAGATAGTTTACGCCAACACTATCAATGATGGTGGGGGATCTTAGACCTCTCTGGTTCAGTTTGACCTCTGGAGAGGCTGGAGATTGAATAAGCTCAGCCACATGGGCACTCCACGTTTACATGACTGACCTCAATAAACACTCTGGAAAACTGGCCAAGGGCGATGACTCACACCTGGAATCCTAGCATTTTGGGAGGCCAAGGCAGGCAGATTGCTTGAGTCCAAGAGTTCGAGACCAGACTGGGCAACATAGCAAGACCTCTTCTTGCAAAAGTAAAAATAAAAAACTCTGGAAATTAAAGTTGCATGAGCTTCCATGGTTGACAATATGCCCTACGTATCATCACAGTTGGTGCTATCCGTATGGCTCCACCAGGAGAGGACAAAAGAAAGCTTGATCCTGGTGTCCCCTGGACTCTGTCCTATGTACCTTTTAGCCTTGGTGGTTTTAAACTTTGGGAGGCCAAGGAGTGCGGCTCATGAGGTCAAGAGATCGAGCCCATTCTGGCCAAAATGGCAAAACCCCATCCCTTCTAAAAATACAAAAATTAGCTGGGTGTGGTGGCAGGTGCCTGTAGTCCCAGCTGCTCGGGAGGCTGAGGCAGGAGAGTCACTTGAACCCGGGAGGCTGAGGTTGCAGTGAGCCGAGATCATGCCACTGTACTCCAACCTGGTGACAGAGCGAGACCCTGTCTCAAAAAAAAAAAAAAATTGTAATTGTGAGCATAACAGGCTTTTCTGAGTCCTTCTAGCAAGTCGTTGAACATGAGAGTGGTCTTAAGAGTCCCTGACACAGAGGAATGGGAGGAAGAATGTTCCAGGCAAAGATAATAATTAGTGCAAAAAAAAAAAAAAATGGAGTTGGGCATGCCCATGAGATTTAGACCAAGGAAAACCCAGGGGTCTGCCTGAGGTCACATATTGAGGCAGAGGAGAACTGACCCAGAACTTGGGTCTGCTGAGCCCCACCCAAGGGTTTTACCTGAAGCCCTGAAGTGTCCTGGAATGGTAGGTGGTAGAGATGGCCACTCTACCATCTCTAGGCTTAGGAGTCACTCACAAACATGGTCTCAAATCCTGGCTCTACCTTGATTTGCTATATGTGACCCTACATTAGTCTCATTATCGCACTGCTATAAAGAAATACCTGAGACTGGACAACTTATAAGAAAAGAGGTTTGATCAGCCTGTAGTTCTGCAGGTTGTACAGGAAGCATAGTGGCTTCTGCTTCATGAGGCCTCAATCATGGTAGAAGGCAAAAGGCAAGGAGGCGTCTTACATGGCAGAAGCAGGAGTAAGAGAAAGTGAGAGGAGAGGTGCCATGCGCTTTTAAACAACCACATCATGCAGTAACTGGGTAATTTATAAAGGAAGGCGGATTGATGGACTCACAGTTCCACATGGCTGGGGAGACCTCACAATCATGGTGGAAGACGAAGGAAGCAAAAGAGGGAATGAGAGCCAAGCACAAGGGGTTTCCCCTTATAAAACCATCAGATCTCACGAGACTTATTCAGCACCATGAGAACAGTATGGGGGAAACAGCCCCCATGATTCAATTATCTCCCACTGGGTCCCTCCACAACACGTGAGGATGATGGGAGCTACAATTCAAGATGAGATTTGGGTGGGGACACAGCCCAGCCATATCGGGAATCATACAATATCTGTCCTTTTGTGTCTGGCTTATTTCACTTAGCATAGTGTCCTCAGTGTTTATCCATGTTTTGGCATGTATCAGAATATCATTTCCTTTTATGGCCAACAAATCTTCCATTGCAGGGATAGGCCACATTTTGCTTATACATTCATTCATCAATGGACGGTTGGGTGGACTCCACCTTTTGGTTACTATGAATAATGCTACTAAGAGCATTGGCATACAAGTATCTTTTTAAGCTCTTTAAGTTCCTGCTTTTCATTCTTCTGGATATATACCAAAGAGTGCAATTGCTGGTAATTTTATGGTAATTCCATGTCCAACTACTTGAGCATGTACCAAATTTCCACAGCAGCTGCAACATTTTCCATTCCCACCAGCAATGCACAAAGGTTCCAATTTCTCCACATCCTTGCCAACACTTGTTATTTCAAGTTGTTTTTAATCATAGCCAGGAGGTGGGTGTGTAGGGGTATCTCATTGTGGTTTTGATTTGCATCTCCCTGGTGAATAACGAAGTTTAGCATCCTTTCATGTGCATATTGGCCATTTGGATGACTTTGGAGACATATCTACTCAAGTCCTTTGCCCATTTTTTAATTGAGTTGTCCTTTTGTTTTTGTTGCTTTGTAAGAACTCTGTATACTCTGAATATTACTTGTCAATCAGATAGATGATTTGAAAATATTTTCTCCAATTCTAAAGGCTGTCTTTTCACTCTCTTCATAGTGGTCTTTGATACAGAAGTTTTTAACTTTAGTGAAGTCCAATATATCAATTTTTTCTTTTGATGCTTATACTTTTGGTGTCATATCCAAGAAATCATTGCCTCCCAGCATTTTGGGAGGTCAGGGCAGGTGGATCACCTAAGGTCAGGAGTTCAAGACCAGCCTGGCCAACGTGGTGAAACCCCATCTCTACTAAAAATATAAAAAGTAGTCGGGCATGGTGGCGCGCACCTGTGGTCCCAGCTACTCGGGAGGCTGAGGCAGGAGAATTGCCTGAACCCAGGAGGCCAAAGTTGCAGTCAGTCGAGATTGTACCACTGGGTGACAGAGTGAGACTCCATCTAAAAAAGAAAGAAGCAAGAAAGCAAGAAAGCAAGAAAGCAAGGAAGGAAGGAAGGCAGGAAGGCAGGCAGGCAGGAAGGAAGGAAGGAAGGAAAGAGAGAGAGAAAGGAAGGAAGGAAGGAAGAAATCATTGCCAAATCCAACGTTGTGAAGATTTACCTCTGTTTTTGATACAGGAAGTAGAAAGAAATTAGGGAGATAGTGAGGGTAAGAGAGTCTTTGGTAAAGTTTCCTTTTAATAAAAAGCACCCCCCAAATGATTTCTTTTCTAACAAAAAGCAGCCTGAAAAATCAAGCTGCAAGCGTAGATAAGCTAGGTAAAAGCTTGCATAGGTAAATGCCAGCAACTGTGCCAATAGAAAAGGGATACCTGGAAGCCAGGTATATTCAACGTGGAGGCTCCTTCTTCGCTTTTCTTTGTCGCCATGTGTGCAGTAAAAAGCAGGCAACATGGTGCTGGCCAGGTAGAAACCCCATCTGCATAATAAAAGATTCAGGTGGGACGGCTAGCTTTTTCATGCACTATGTAAATGGCACACCTGATCCGACCAATCTCTTGTGCCCTATGTAAATTAGACACCACCTTCTCAAGCTCATCTATAAAACTCCATGCATTTCCCCACAGAACTAGAAAACCCACTTGAGAGCCCACCTCTCTCTCTGCGGGAGAGACAGATTTTCTCTTTTCTCTTTCTTCAGCCTACTAAACCTCTGCTCTTAAACTCACTTCTTGTGTGTGTGTGTCCTTGATTCCCTTGGTGTGAGACGACGAACCTCAGGTATTTACCCCAATGTCATCGCTTCATTTTCTTCCAAGAGTTTTATAGTTTTAGCTCTTAAGTTTATGTGGAAGTTTTTCCCCTTTAAATACTATCTTAAACTATGTTAAACATTTGTAAAAACTATCACAGCTCTGGGTCTAAAAAAACAAGGTTACATTCATAAACATTAAGGAGACACGGCTGGGTGTGGTGACTTACGCCTGTAATCCCAGCACTTTGGGAGGCCGGGGAGGGCGGATCGCCTGAGGTCAGGAGTTCAAGACCAGCCTGGCCAATAGGGTGAAACCCCGTCTCTACTAAAAATACAAAAATTAGCCAGGCGGGGTGGTGCACGCCTATAATCCCAGCTACTCAGGAGGTCGAGGCAGGAGAATCGCTTGAACCTGGGAGGTAGAGGTTGCAGTGAGCCAAGACTGCACCACTGCACTCCAGCCAGGTTCAAGCGATTCTCCTGCCTCAGCCTCCCAAGTAGATGGGATTACAGGCACCCACCACCATGCCCGGCTAATTTTTGTATTTTTAGGGGAGATGGGATTTTACCATGTTGGCCAGGCCGGTCACAAACGCCTGACCTCAAGTGATCCACCCACCTCAGCCTCCCAAAGTGCTGGAATTACAGATGTGAACCGCCGCACCCGGCCATGAGTAATTTATTTTAAAAGTGAATATAATTCTTACAGTTATGGAAGCTGAGAAGTCCAAGGTGGAGGGGCCGTATCTGTGAGGGCCTCCTGGCTGTGGGGATTGATACGGTTTGGCTGTGTCACCTCCCAAATCTCATCTTGAACTCCCACATGTTGTGGGAGGGACCCAGTGGGAGGTAACTGAATCATGGAGGCAGGTATTTCCCACGCTGTTCTTGTGATAGTGAGTAAGTCTCACGAGATCTGATGGTTTTATAAAGGGGAATTTCCCTGCACCGCTCTTCTCCTGTCCGCTGCCATCTGAGAGGTGGTCTTCGCCTTCCGCCATGATTGTGAGGCCTCCCCAGCTACGTGAAACTGTGAGTCCATTAAACCTGTTTCTTTTGTACATTGCCCCGTCTCAGGTAAGTCTTTTTTTTTTTTTTTTTTTTTTTTTTTTGAGACAGAGTCTCGCTCTGTCGCCCAGGCTGAGGCGCAGTGGCGCCATCTCGGCTCACTGCAAGCTCCGCCTCCCGGGTTCCCGCCATTCTCCTGCCTCAGCCTCACAAGTAGCTGGGACTACAGGCGCCCACACCACGCCCGGCTAATTTTTTGTGTTTTTTAGTAGAGACGGGATTTCACCGTGTTAGCTAGGATGGTCTCGATCTCCTGACCTCGTGATCCACCCGTCTCAGGTATGTCTTTATGAGCAGCGTGAAAACGGACTAACATGCGGACTCTGCGGAGTCCGGAGACGGCACAGAGGATCACACAGGGAGGGGTTGAGTGTGCCAACTCAGGTCTCTTTTCCTCTTCTAATAAGGCCACCCGTCCCACTCCTGCTCTAACCCATTAATCCATTAATCTGTGCATGGATTAATCTATTCACGAGGGCACTGCCCTCCTGACCCGATCACCTCTTAAAGGCCAACTCTCAATCCTGCCACACTGGGAATTAAGTTTCAACATGAGTTTCGGAGGAGATAAACATTCAAATCATAGCCAAAATCCAAAGAGACTTGAGGAACAGAAGTTGATTCAAAGGTTAACAAAGGCCCACATTGATCGTTACAGAGAATAATCAATCAGAAAGTTAAGCAACGCATCGCCAGAGCTGTGAGGAACTGACGAAGAATTTCAAAAAGGCTTTAGGATGATAAAGATGCCCGGGCAGCTTTCTAATGCCGTATGCAATGCCGTCCTGGAAACGTGTGTATAAGTCAAACACACAAAAGGCAAGACAGCCACTTTTTTTTTTCTTTCATTCTTTTTTGAGACAGGGTTTTGCCCTTGTGACCCAGGCTGGAGTGCAATGGCGCGATCTCGGCTCTTTTTAACCTGCAACCTCCGCCTCCCGGGTTCAAGCGATTCTTTAGCCTCAGCTTCCCGAGTAGCTGGGATTACAAGCGCCCGCCACCGCACCAGACTAATTTTTGTATTTTTAGTAGAGACGGGGTTTCACCATGTTGGCCAGGCTGGTCTCAAACTCCTGACCTCAGGTGATCCACCCACCTCGGCCTCCCAAAGTACTGGGATTACAGGCGTGAGCCACCGCGCCCGGCCAAGTCAGCCACTTTCTGTCATCACCGGGGTTCTGCTCCTAGGGGTTCCAACAGCACTGCAAAATCTCCAATTAAAGGGGGAAGCCCTTTAGCGACAGTTGTCAGGACAGGTCCCACCCATTTGCACATGTTCTTTCATTTTCTTTGTCTTCCCGGTTGAATCCGCCTGCCATCAAGACTCACCACTTCCCACCCGTACACTGCTGTCATTTCAAGTGAATCACCTTGCCCTCTTCTTTTTTTGAGACGGAGCCTCCCTCTGTCGCCCAGTCTGGAGTGCAGTGGCCGGATCTCGGCTCACTGCAAGCTCCGCTCCCGGTTACCCATCTCCTGCCTCAGCCTGCCGAGTAGCTGGGACTACAGGCGCCCGCCACCTCGCCCGGCTAGTTTTTTTGTATTTTTTAGTAGAGACGGGGTGTCACCGTGTTAGCCAGGATGGTCTCGATCTCCTGACCTCGTGATCCACCCGTCTCGGCCTCCCAAAGTGCTGGGGTTACAGGCTTGAGCCACCGCGCCTGGCCCTTGCCCTCTTCTTATGCCAGGTAATTTATGCAAATATTATTGTGAATTACTAGGGCAAATTGCAATAGGATATTCAAATCTTTGGGCAGACATGCCCTGCTGGTGGGATGCAATGACTCACATATGTAATCCCAGCACAGGTGGAAGGCCAAGGAGGGAGGATTGCTTGAAGCCAAGAATTCAAGACCAACCTGGGCAACATAGCAAGCGTCGTCTCGAATTTTTAAGAAAAATTTTTTTTAAATGTCCTGCTGGTCAAAACACAAAGAGGGCTCTGCCCATACTGACTAGATTAGAAAATGCCTGAAACTAGAAACCACCACTGGGCAATTAAAGACAAAATTTCTTGAATAAAAGACAATCCAACCCAAGACAATGCAATACAATTTGAAAGACGCAACCCAGCTGAATGGGGTAGCTCATGCCTGTAATTCCAGCATTGAGGAGGCCGAGGTAGGAGGATCGCTTGAGTTCAAGACCAGCCTGGGCAACATAGCATGACCTCCTCTTTACTAAAAATTTAAAAAATTAGCCAGGTGTGGTGACTGGCACCTGTAGTCCCAACTACTTGTAAGGCTGAGGTAGGAGGATTGCTTGAGCCTGGGAGGTCGAGGCTGCAGTGAGTTATGATCATGCCACTGCACTCCAGCCTGAATGACGAGACCCTGTCTCAAAACATAATAAATAAATAAATAAATAAATAAATACCCACCCCAAGATAGATAAATGTCAAGTTATAAGGCTTTAAAGACAAAGACAGATTTCTACTGGATTCCAGGGGAAAAAAAAAAGAAGAAGAAAAATGACTTATGGATATAAGGGGAATTATGATCTCTGTCACCTACCAGGCTCTGCAGGACAGAAAGGCTTTGGGGAAAAACTTATGCATCAATTTAGGAGAACAAGAGTTATCCCTGGGTCCTTCCTAAAGAAAAAGGGAGCCCATCGTAATTGCTGGGTGATCTGAAACGCCCTTGGCAGGGGGCACCAGCATACGGTAGGTCAAAATGTTTTATTATTGCATGACAGATGGACATTTGGCTCCTTGCAAGAGACAGAGGTCACCAGGAATGCCACTGAGTTACGTGCAAAAGTGCAGATGCCACAAAAGGCAAACATAGGCAAAGGTCAGGAGGGGTGAGAAGTGGAGGGCCATAGACACAGGTTAGCCAGCTCCCTGCTTTGGTCCAGGTAGGTCACCTGCCCTATCTTCCTTGGGAGGGTCTGTGGCTGCAGATGCTTCGGCTGCAGATTCGTGGCTCCCCTGGGTCATGCACCTTGGTCCACACCAGCCCCTTGAGTTCTGGCAGGATTCCACACGTGGAGATTGACTCTTGCTTCTTGATACCAGGGAGTCAATGAACTGTCCAGCAGGTAAGATAGAGAGACTGGCTCTTTCTCTTGCACCAGCTCAGGTTGACTTGGTTCTGTGACAAGGCAGCAAATTAGAGGTGTTTACTTCTTCACATTGGGTCTGAATGAAGCTGCCAGAATTCTACTGTCCTGCCCCTAAGGCTTCTGGAGTTCCCTGGGCACTGACGGCTGTACAGCATCAACCTCAGCTTCCAATAAATATTTATCTCTGACCACATCAGTAATGATCATCAAAATCTTCTACAGTCCAATACAATACAATTTGAAAGACCCATCCTGGCTGGGCAGGGTGGCTCACACTTGTAATTCCAGTATTGAGGAGGCCAAGGTGGGAGGATCACTTGAGTTCAAGAGTTCAAGGCCAGCCTACGCAACATAGCAAGACCTCCTCTTTACTAAAAATTTAAAAAATTAGCCAGGCATGGTGGCTCACACCTGCAGTCCCAGCTACTTGTAAGGCTGAGGTAGGAACCAAGGCTGGGTGCCATGGCTCACGCCTCTAATCCCAGTGCTTTTGGAGGCCCAGGCAGGAGGATCACTCAAGGTGAGGAGTTCAAGACCAGCCTGGGCAACATAGTAAGACCCTGTGTCTACCAAAATTTAGCCCAGCACAGTGGTGGGTGCCTGTCGTCCCAGTTACTTGGGAGGCTGAGGTGGGAGGATCTCTTGAGCCCAAGAGTCTGAAGCTGCACTGAGCTATGATCATGCCCTGCACTCCAGCCTGGACAACAGAGCAAGACCCCATCTCAAAACAAACAAACAACAAAAAAAAAAAAGATAAAGAAAAGAATTTTTTGCATCCAAAGAGCCCAGATGAGTTTCTGCAAGGCATCCATCTATTCATTCAGCAAACATTTTCCTGGTCCTCCCTGGGAGGTGGCTGCTTTTGTTAAACACCACTAGAGGATCTCAAAGAATCTGAGAACTAGAATGGTACAGAAAAGATATGACTCCATCTTTAACTCCAAAGACTTTTTGGATTTTAAATATTGATATCATTTATTCAATTATTCATTAAATAATTATTTATTGAGTATTGTGTACTCTAGTCAAAGCCGGGTCTACTGGGTGTGAAAAAAGCAGCAACGTTTCTTGCCCTCCCACAGCTAATGAGTGAATTAATACTAATAATTACAGCTGCAAATCTTGCAGCCACTGGGTCAGCTGTGAAACACCCTTTACCTCGGCATGTCCTCAACGAGATAGGTGATTTTATTATTCCCAGTTCACTGATAAACTGAAGCACAAAGAACTGAAGTCTCTGCGACTCCCCGAAGTGTTTTTTGGTTAGTGATTAATTTTCCTAACATTTGGAAACATTTTGGAATATGATGATTTCTGATTACCCTCGTTCTTTCTTGGATGTTTCTCCGCTAGCTCTGACATTTCCTCAGGTGAGAGTTCATAAGACATTAAAGCTTAAACGTAGAAGATTGGATGATAGTCACACATTTCCTCCCGGGCTGCTGATAATAAATGAGCAATTTTTTTTAATTAAAAATCTTGCCAAGGTCACACAGCTCCTAAGTGACAAAGCCACACCTCAGACCCAAGCCAGTCTGATCCACATCATGTCCTCTTGACCATGACATTTTCTAAATTAATCACATAAAATCAGTTTGCCGTAGCCAGAAACCTGAGTTCATTCCAATTAGCGAGGACAGAATCAAAGGTGCCCAGGTCATCCTCTCCACCTGGCTCCTAGATTATGCGCTAATGCTGTGGGATAACATTTTTAAAATTATTAACTGACGCCTCTTTTTCCTTTTTTATTTAATTGAGGTGAAATTCACATAACAAAACATAAATTGGTTTAAGTGTACAATTAAATGACATTTAGGGCCAGGCACAGTGGCTCACGCCTGTCATCCCAGCACTTTGGGAGGCTGAGGCGGGCGGATCACCTGAGGTCAGGGGTTTAAGACCAACCTGGCCAACATGGTGAGACCCCGTCTCTACTAAAAATACAAAAATTAGCTGGGTGTGGTGGTGGGTCTGAAGGAACTCCCCAAACCTCCGGATTTAGCAGGAGACAAGATAAGGGTAATCACCCCAGCACCTGTATCCGTTCAGATTAAGTAAATTTACTGAGGCTGCAGAGGAAGGTCTTCAGGACTCAGATCTTAGTTATAGATTAGAAGAAGTTGATCACTTATGTCTTTAGATGAATGCACACTTACCCGTGGACATATAGCTTAAAAGGTATGTAAGCTCTGGAAGACTTTGTAATTTTGAGTTGCTCTGGTGCTATTTTCCAGGCCTTCTCCCTGTAACCAATTGCAGAAGTAAAAACTCTTCTTCCCCAGTTCATCTATATCTCATTATTGGCCGGCGAGAATAAGTAGCCTGACCTTCAGTGTGGTCCAGGAACACCTACATGAAGATAGGACTGCCCCAAGCGTTTAGAGCCTTCTATCCAGAACCACACAGGTAACCTTTGTGTGAATTTTAAAAGGTATCCCCTCATGGGAATGATCTATGAGTTGATGGGGTTTGGGTTTACACAAAAATAGATAACTGACTTAAAATATGTGCATCTTTGGCTGGGCAGGGTGGCTCATGCCTGTAATCCCAGCACTGTGGGAGGCCAAGGTGGGTGGATCACTTGAGGTCAGGAGTTCAAGACCAGCCTGGCCAACATAGTGAAACCCTGTCTCTACTAAAAATACAAAAATTAGCCAGGCATGCTGGTGCGTGCCTGTAGTCCCAGCTACTAGGGAGGCTGAGGCAGGAGAATCACTTGAACCCAGGAGGCAGAGGTTGCAGTGAGCCAAGATTGCACCACTGCACTCCAGCCTAGGGGGCAGAGCGAGACTCTTGTCAAAAAAAAAAAAAAAATTGTGCATCTTCGTCATATGCAAATTTTGCATAAACAACCGTAAACAAACATTCTAGTTAATGATGTGCATGACGTATTTAGGAAGAAGCATGCCAATATTTGCAATTTGTTTGAAATGCACCCAGACATAAGATGGATGAGGTGAAGAGATGGTTAGATATGTGATAAAATCAGCAGAGTCAAACATTCATTGTAGACTCTAGGTGCTGGACATACGGGTGTTCACTGTAACGTTCTTTCAGCTTTGCTACTTGTTTAAAATTCTTTATAATGAAATATTCGGAAACAGAGCACTTCTCAGGTGGACCCAGCTGTGTAGGGCACAGCTTAGCAAGTCAGGTGCTGCCTGGATTGGGCCCATCCATCCCTTCAGCTGGGGGCCTTGTGTAACCAACAATGAGCCCAGCCATCCAGGGTGACCCTTCTCAGCACTTGCATGAGCTGTTCAGTTCTCTTCCAAATTCTTCTTAACATTGCGGACATTTTTATTTCCTCCAGAGATTCATATTTCTAGCTCAAACCTTTTGTTTTTCTTTTAAAAGTCTTTTCAACCTTTGCCTGTCTTCTCCAAGCTATTTCCACACTGTCTTCATTATTTGATCTTTGTAAGAGGTCTTGAGAGTTGGTCTTTGTTGGTAGTTCAGAGCTTTCTTTTCCTCCTCCTTCCTTGTTTTCTCTCTTCAACATTGTCTTCACCGTTCTTGGTCCCTGATATGTATGGTTTGGCTGTGTCCCCACCCAAATCTCATCTTGAATTGTAGCTCCCATAATTCCCACATGTCGTGGGAGGGACCCAGTGGGAGATGATTGAATTATGGAGACAGTTTCCCCCGTACTGTTCCTCAGGGTAGTGAACAAGTCTTAGATCTGATGGTTTTATAAGGGGAAACTCCTTTCTCTTGGTTCTCATTTTCTCTTTGCTTGCTGCCATGTAAGACATGCCTTTCACCTTCTGCCATGATCGTGAGGCCTCCCCAGCCACGTGGAACTGTGAGTCCATTAAACCTCTTTTTCTTTATAAATCACCCAGTCTTGGCTATGTCTTTATCAGCAGCATGAAAATGAACTAATACAACCCGTTTGCATTTCTGTATGAATTTTTGCATAATTACCTGAGGAAACTCTTTTTTTTTTTTTTTTTTTTAATTTTGAGAGTCTCACTCTTGCCCAGGCTGGAGTGCAGTGGTGCAATCTTGGCTCACTGCAAGCTCCACCTCCTGGGTTCATGCCGTTCTCCTGCTTTAGCCTCCCAAGTAGCTGGGACTACAGGCGCCCGCCACCACGCCCGGCTAATTTTTTTGTATTTTCAGTAGAGACAGGGTTTCACCGTGTTAGCCAGGATGGTCTTGATCTCCTGACCTCGTGATCCTCCTGCTTCAGCCTCCCAAAGTGCTGGGATTACAGGCATGAACCACCGTGCCCAGCCGAGGAAACTCTTTTTTTATGGAAACAGAGTCTTGCCCTGTTGCCCAGGCTGGAGTGCAGTGGCACAACCATAGCTCACTGCAGCCTCAACCTCCTGGGCTCAAACCTTCCTCCCATCTCAGCCTCCCAAGTAGCTGAGGTTAAAGGTGCACACCACCATGCCCAGCTGCTTGTTTTCCTTGGCATTTGAGGCAGCATCAGAGTCACATTCTGGAGGAGACCTTGATCAGAAACAATTACTTCCACAAAGAACATCAGCTTGGCTAAGCAGAGCAGCTTCTGTCCAGCAGAGCCAGGTGGGCTTGTAAACTTTGTCTAGGGTTCAATTTTAATTTCACTTCTCCTCTCAGTTGACTTTGCTTCTCAGATCAATTTCCTTATGTTTTTAATTAATTTAGAGCTCAATTAGTTTGATTCTTAAAGGGCATGCAATGGCTCCAAAGTCTCTTGGGATCAAAACAAATGAAAGCTCAACCGATTAAAATTAAGCCATTTATAGCAACTGTCCTCACATGCTCCTTCTCCCCAAAGAAGGAAATGGAAGAGATGGGACTTTATTAGGAAGGCCAGAAGCCCAGGGCTCTACCAGAAACAAGAGGAAAGGCATCCCAGAAGGCCCTGTCCCCTCAATTGAGAGACTTCCATTCTGCTCATAGATTCTGTGAGCTTAGCATTAGGACCAGGCATAGTCAGGTTGGCTTCTCACTGCTCCACCATGTCTGAGGCCTCAGCGGGAGGCTGGGGGTTGAGTCCTCTACAGATGCCTTCTCTCCTTTGCCTGGTGATTGATGCCATGCATGGGCTCAGACCTTAGCAGGCTGTCAGCCAGAACACCTACATATGGCATCTCATGTGGTCTCTGCATGGCTGTTTGGGCTTCCTCAGAGCATGGTGGCTGCATTCCAAGAGCAAGTTTCCCACAAGAACAAAGCCCAAGTGTACCACATTGTTATGACCTAGACTCAGAAATCACATAGCATCACTTTTGCTGTACTCTGTGGGTCAAAGCTGTCACAGAGCTCTGACCAGGTTTGAGGAAAAGAGACCTCCATGGAGGGAGGCGGGGTTCTAGAAAAAAACACAGGACAGGAGACATTGTCATGGCCATCTTGGAAAACACAATCTGCCACACCAGTTTCTACTAAAGGGTCACCTTGGCTGACTTCAGCGTCCCCAAAGGCACCTATCTCTCATGCCACACCAGCTTCTACTGAAGGGTCACCTTGGCCAACCTCAGCATCCCCGAAGGGACCTGTCTGTCATCATCAGGGCCATTTCTCCACAAGCAACCTAGTGGTGACTTCAGGAGGCTCAGCCTCAGTCTCCCTTCTGCCCAGCCTGTTGGCTCACAGCCTGTGACATGAAGGAGAAACCAACTTGATTACAGTAGTTGCTGCATCTGCAGCTTATCTGTTCCAGCAGCTAGCAGAGCTTATGCTGATGAGTAAAACTGCCTAAAGACATGGCCTTCCAGCAAGTCTAAAGAGCAAACACACACTCCTATGAGATGCATCACCCAAAGGCACTCCTCTAATTCTCTTCATAACCAATGTGTTCATTGTTCGGTTTCTCCATTTACAAAGCACCTTCATCATCTTCTCCCTCTTAATCCAAGTCACTATGCCCAACCCAAGACCTGCAGGTTTCTCCCTCTTGATACCTCCCAACTCCATCCACATCTCTTCACCTCCACAGCCACGTCTGGTCCAGACTCTTTTCTTCTCTCACCTGACCCATGGCCAGAGCCTCCTCGCTGGCCTCTGCACACACATTTTGTATCCACTCCCATCCTCTCACTCTCCCGCATACAACTCTCCATGGCTTCCAAGAATTTTGGGGTTTTGGGGTGTTTGTGTGTGTGTATTTTAGAGACAGGGTCTCTCTCTGTCGCCCAGGCTGGAGTGTAGTGGTGTATTCATAGCTCACTGCAGCCTCAAACTCCTGAGCTCTGGCCATCCTCCGACCTCAGCCTCTTGAGTAGCTGGGACTACAGGTGCATGCCACCATGACCAGCTAATTTTTATTTTTTGTATAGATGAGGTCTCACTACATTGCCCAGGCTAGTCTTAAACTCCCGACCTGAAGCAATCCTTCCTTCTCAGCGCCCCCAAGTGCTAGGATTTTCCATGAGCCACCGGTTTCCAGTTTTCTTAAGACGAAGTCCCAAATGCTAACCGTGGCTCCTGGCCCTGCCTGCTCTGAGTACTGCCAAGATCTCAGACTTTACCTCCTGCCACCTTCACCTTAACACCGGGCTCTGGCGCCTGCCACTTTCATCTTCTCTGAGCTCCTCGGTCCCACTCCCTACTTTCATATGCTCAGTAGCCACATGTAGCCAGTGGCTGCCATAGTGAATGGCCCCGCTCTCTTCTCTTCTTCATGCCCCTAGCAGCAGCAGCTCTGTACCAGAGCCACGCTCTATTCCGCTTGCCCTCTTGCAGTTGATTTTCTTCAATTTCTATTTTTCTATTTGTTCTTGTGATGCAAAGACACATAATATCAGATAGATGCTCAACAAATTTTTAAGTGTACAATGTGCTTTTCTTTAAGTGCAGTGTTGTGCCTGAGATCTCTAGAACTTTTTCATCTTGCATGACTGAAACACGACACCCATTGCATAGCAAATCCCGATTTCTCTCCCTCGACCAGTCCCTGGCAACCACCATTCTGCTTAGATTAGCCAGGCTCTCTATGAGTCTGACTACTTTAGATACTTCATACAAATGAAATAACACAGCATTTGTCCTTCTGTGACTGGCTTATTTCATTTAGCACAATGTCAGCCTAATGTCCTCAAGGTTTATCCATGTCATCCTTCCTTATGGCAGGATGATATTCCATGGTATGTGTATTATATATATACATGTGTATATACGTATATATACATGTATGTATAAAAATACACACACATAAAAATAACATGGGTGAATATATATATATTTATATACAAATATAATGTTTATGTATAATATATTTTAATATATATACATATATAAAACAACCAATATATATAAATAATGGATGAATAGATAAAACATTATATATATGTTATATATAAATAAAATGTGATTTTTATGTTATATATAATTTATAAATAAAATGTTTATATATATTAAATGTTATATATATTACCTATATATAACATTTTTTACATCTATTCATCCAT